TAAGTCTGTTTAGCTTCATCATATGCTTTTACAATGTAAATTAATACATCGTATACGGCATCACTGCTTCTTATGTAAACTTAATACATGCTAGATGTATTGCTTTACAAAGCAGGATTAATGCCTTTATATACATAAGATACTAGTGTCTTATTAAATATGGCATTAATATTTTCTCATTTTTACAACATACAAGGAGCTTTCATATCCTGACTAGATAATTATAATTTTTAAACTGCATTACAGTACTGTATTGTACTTATGTCAAGTGAATTTTTTATTTATACGGTATATAGTAGAATAAAATATTTTATACTATGTGCAAAACAATCACAGAGGGAGTTGAATGGTAGTTCTGGAATTGGGAAATGGGGGGAATAACCCCTCATTCAATTCCCCCTGTGGTGCTTTGCATCTTGTGTTGCTTGTTCACTATTATTGCATTTATACTATGTGTATCAAAGTGAATAATTTTCATTAACTAGCAGTGATACTAATTATAATTTTTTTTTTTTTTGTGTTGCAGGTTTTAAGTGCCCCATCTGCTCCAAACTTGTACTGCCTGACGACTTGGAGTGCCACTTAGTTATCTGCCTCACCAAACCACGCATCAGTTACAATGGTAGGTGGTGACGTTTAGTTCATCAGGAAACTGTCCTCTGATGCAGATCTTTGACAGATGATGACCCACTCAGTGATTGATTATTATTATTATAATCAAAAAGAAGCACTAAGCCACAAGGGCTATACAGCGCTGCAGGGTAGGGAAGGAAGCGAGGGTATTGGATGGCAGAAGGGAGGAGGGATGATCAGTAGGTTACAGAAAACAGCAGGGCAGGGGATAGTACGGGGGTAGAGGGTAGCAAGAGATTGAAGTAGAAAGGGCTGAAGGTATCAGAATTTGTGAAGTAAGTCAGTTGTTGTCAAAAAGTCAATGAGAGAGTCCGGATGAAAGGTGGGTCCATCAGCGAGAAGGGAAGGTAAAGAGAGAGCAGCAGAGCGTAGACAACGACGGAGGTAAATTCTGGGTGCTCGTTGATAAAGTGGGCAGTCCAACAGAATGTGGCTGACTGATAATGGAGCTTGGCAATTCTCACAGAGAGGAGCAGGGCGCCTCTCCATGAGATATCCATGAGTAAGACGAGTATGGCCAATGCGAAGATGGGAGAGAGTAGTCTCCCAACCTCGACACTGGTGATAAGAAGACGGCCAGTAACCTATACTCGGTTTAATAGATTGAAGTTTGTTGCCGAGCATAGTAGACCAACGTTGTTGCCAATGGGTGTGAAGGTGGGAAGATATTGCAGCAAAATAGTCCGTAAATGGAATACCTCTATATGAAACTGGTAGGTCATGTACTGCTGACCGCGCAGCAGTGTCTGCCTGTTCATTGCCCTGTACGTCAACATGACCAGGGACCCAACAAAAAACAATATCTTTATGCTTGGTAAAGATGCGGCGTAGCCAAAGTTGGATACAGAGAACTAAGGGGTGAGGTGTATCAAATTTCTGTATAGCCAGTAAAGCACTAAGGGAGTCTGAGACAACCACAAATGATGACACAGGCATAGATGAAATACGGATAAGTGCTGCAAGGATGGCATACAATTCAGCAGTAAAAATACTAGCCGAAGATAGTAAATGCCCTCGTACGACGCTGTCCGGAAACACTGCTGCGAATCCTATGCCGTCAGAAGACTTAGAGCCATCTGTGTACACAGCAATGGCATGAGAATGAGAGTGAAAGTGGTCAAGAAAAAGAGAGCGGGAAGTGACCGTAGACAGTTGGCTTTCGAGCAAGGAGAGAGAAAGAACAGACTCGAACAGCTGGAACTTCCCAAGGGGGTAGGGAAAAGTGAGATGCTACATGAACATAGAAAGGTAGTAATTGAAGAGAAGACAAGAGCGAATGAAGGCGAAGAGAGAAGGGATGGAGTAAACAGGGGCGGCGAACAAATAAAGAATGTCTACTAATATCAGTGACCATTCTATAAATGGAAGGATTGCGGAGATCATGAGAGCGTACATAGTAGCGAAGGCAATGGGCATCACGGCGATCGGATAAGGATGGAACGTTCGCTTCTGCATAGAGGCTCTCGACGGGAAGAGCGAAAAGCACCAAGGCATAAACGTAATCCTTGGTGATGAATGGGGTTAAGGCTAGAGAGAGTAGCAGGAGATGCCGCTGAATAGATCTGGTCACCATAATCAAGTTTCGATAAAATGAGGGTGGAATGTAGGCGAAGGAGGGTTCGACGATCAGCTCCCCATGAAAGAAGAGGCAAGGGTTTTAAAGAAGGTTTCAGCCGGTCTGTGACAAGTTGCCATCAGAAAGGTAAGTGAGGTTTCCAGGATAACCTTACGGTCAAAGAGGATGCCCAGACACTTGACTGTATCACGTTCAGGGTATACGGGAGCCATAGAGGTACAAAGGATATCGAGATGACGAGAGCGTCTAGTTGAAAATAATTTGGTGGTATTTAGTGCTGGAAAATTTAAACCCATGTGTGGTGGCCCAATTGGAAACACGGTTCGAAGTCCGCATGCTGGAGAGAAACTGTAATGATGTGACAGCAGCGCCTGCACAGGCAATAGCGAATGTCATCAACATAGAGTATGACCACATATTTGATGGAAAACTAGAAGCCAGAATCATAAGAGCAAGGAGAAAAAGTGTTGTGCTCAGACACATCCCTGGGGACACCTTCAGCTTGGAATAAAGTCCGGAGAGCACATTATTAACCTGAACACGGAATCCTGTCAGTTAAAAGTACTTATGGAAGATGGAAGATTGCCTCGAAGGCCTAATGAGTGGCTTGGGTCTAAAATATTATACCTCCAAGTTGTGTCATATGCATTCTCGAGTTCAAAAATATGTAATAACTGAGTGTTATTCGGCAAAGGCATTTACTAACATACGTATCCAAGCGTAGTAAGGGGTCTATGGTAGAACGTCCCTTACTGAAACCATATTGACGATGGAGAGAGCCTGTTGTGGTGTCCTCTAAATACTCACACGTAAACGTCTATTTTACTATGCGTCCCATCACTTTGCATACTGCTCTGGTAAGAGCAATGGAACGATATGGAGGCTTACATGTCCCGTAGGTGCCTGGTTTGCGGAGTTTGGAAAGGGAGAACAATGGCCGGATTTCACAGCTGTGGAAGAACTCTGTGACGCAAATAAATTGTAAAGGTTAATAGGACTGCAAGGGCTGACTGATTGTAAATGTGTTAGCATAGGAAAAAAAAAAAAGTCAGACTATAAGTCGTCGGGCCCAGCTGCCGATGATCGAGCAAGCTGAAAGTGTTTGCCTCATTCTTGAATGAAAAAGGCATATTATACTGGTTCTTCTCTGAGAGAAATAAAGTCCAAGGGGCTGAACTCTCTGCAGATGTTGAGGAAAGAAATGAGGGGCATCGATGGAGTCCCTGAGAAATACGGACCAGATGATTGCCCCCAATTTCATTGCAACATCTAGTGTTTGCTAAACACACCGCAACCGCAAACATGAGCCGGGTCAGGACATGTTTACCACTCAGTTTTTCGTACTTATTTCCAGACTGCACTCATAGAGGAAGCAGAGGTGAAGGAGTAGACATAACTCACCAGTTACAAGGCTTTAGCGTCACGGATGACCGGCAGCGATCGCACGCTCTGCTTAAAATCAAAGAAGTCTCTCTGTGGTTCTAATGTACCGTGTCTTGCCCCATGCAGCGCGGTTTCAAACGTACTGCACTAGCACAAGCCATGAGACCACCAAGGCACGCATTTCTGAATGCCTGCCCGAAGTTTGGGGTATCAATTAGAAGCTGCAGTTAAAACGGGGACGAGAAGGGGTATAAAGCTCATCGGTTGAGGACAAGACAGGAACCTCTCGAAAAAACAGTTAGTGTGAGTAAAGGTCTTCGCTATTTTGCCCTGATCAAAATTGCCAGTGTGGTATGCTGTCATGTAGTCCGGGAGAACATGACCGAAGTGAGAGTCTAAATGCGGCGGAGGAGAGCAGACTGAGAGATCTATGCAAGAGAGAGTGTGAGTCCGAAGGATCAAAAATGATGGTGAGTACCTGTATTTAAAACATGTAGGTGTGGGTGGCAAAGAAAAGCCTCTAACTGAATGCCACGGGAATCACAGTGAGACCCCCCCAGAGAAATGGTGGGCAATAAAAAAGCGCCAGTAACAGAATCTGTGGTAATGACGAAACAAGAAGGCACTAATCCGAATAGATAATGCCCGAGAAGAGAGAGAGATAAAGAACAGAGCGTAATACCACCTATGGAAGTGGAGATACGGGCTGCCTGTGCAAATGCAGCGAAGTACGACAAATAGCTGATGGAACGGATATCAGTGAGTAGAAGAAGGGCACTTTCATTAAAGGTCCCATCAGGAAAAGGATCTGAAGAATACAATAAATTATAGCCTGAGATGGGAGAGATAAACAGCAGAGTGTAATTTTGGTTCCTGTAAGCAAACACCAACAGGGAAAAACTGGAGAGTAACATCTGAAGCTCACACCCGATTACCCCTGAGGCCGCGTATATTCCACTGTAAATAGGCCATGATTGGCAATGATAAAGATACCTGAAATCCGCAGGTAAGGGTTCCTACAGACTAGAGGGTTAGAAAAGTCCACATGCGGAGGCAGTGGAAAACGTTCAAGCAGCGAAGGAATGGTGCGCTGTGAAGAAAGGAGTTGTGCAGATGGAGCAGAGGAGAGACAAGGAACGGAGGGTGGATCAGTGTCCTTTGATGGTTTGGTCTCTGCAATATATTCAGAGATTGCGTTCAAGTGTTTCGGAATTCAGAGACGTCGTATGGGAGACAATATTGGAAATGGTAGGGGAGGATGAGTAAAGATTGGAACTTTAATGGACTGTACCAAGGTAGGGGGGGGGCAAAAGGGTGGAGGGAACTGGAGAAGCATGGAAGGGGACAGAAGAAGCAGAAACCTGGGGAGGTGGCAGAGGAGGAAACTTGGGAGGGAACAGGGGAGGAAGGTACAGTACGAGGAGGAGGGTGAACCTCTACACTTGTAACAGAGCCAGTGAGAGGGGAAGAACCAGGTACAGAGACAGGGAAGCTAAAATGAGGAGGTGGAAGATCGGTAGGAGGTGTTAACGGACCTTTTTTTGACTTTTGAGAAGTAGAGGGACGATTAGGAGGAGGTGTCATACAAGATCTCGTCGCTACTGAGGCTTGTGAGGGAGAACACGAAGAAGCGAGATCAGACTGAGGCGTTGAAGTAGGGACGTCTGAGCCTAGGACAGCAAAAGTATTAGATACAGGAGTGACTGTGGGAGAGGTAACCACAGAGGTGGTTGCAGAAGATGGGATCCCAGAAGTGGGGGGACGTTTTGAAACACGGGAATAAGAAACACGAGGTAGTCTCCCATGGAGGCGGAGATGAGAAACTGCCATGGCATAAGGGAGACCTTCTGCCTCTTTGAGGTAACGGATTTCCCGCTTGTTTAAGTAGACTTGACAACGGCGAGAGTACGAAGGGTGAGCCTCATGACAATTAAGGCAAGAGGGAGGTCGATTGCAAGACATATTAGAATGGTTCATCGGCACCACAGACGGGCATTCGGCGATAGATCTGCAATATTTCGCTGGATGGC